GCATTTGAGAGAGACAGCCCGCATTTAATGTCCAGATTACAAAACAACATGGAGATGAGCCGTGCGGAACATCTGGGCGGCTTAATGCAGAACATGGCGCCCTTCCCTGGGACTGCTCAGTTACTCCCGGCACCTGTTGAACCATCTTGTAGCACCTTCACCTTTCCAGGGAAACCATATGGAGAACTCACAAACGGCCTGATCCCCCAAACACTGCGTGGATCCTCCGACGCACTCCTGATATCAAGCGAGCGTGGTATGGCAGAAGCCTCACTTAATCACCACTGGCAGAGAAACAGGTCTTTTCAGCTGATCAAACCAAAAAAAAGCTTCATCTGCTCATACTGTGGCAAGGTCTTCGAGCGCTCTGGCCACCTTGAAAGACATTTACGAATTCATACTGGAGAGAAGCCGTATGGCTGCCATATATGCGGAAGGTGCTTCAATCAGAAGAGTAGCCTCAAGGGCCACATGAGGACACACAGAAATGGTGAGAGCCAAAAGCTGAAATTGACTAGAGCTAATGATCATTTTACCAGAATATAAGAATGACATGCCCAAAGCACAAGGTGACAGATTCACTTTGCTTATTTGTGTGACCATCAGTCCAAAATGCAAAGTGTTTAGATTAATGTCACAAATATTTGAGCAAACCAGCAGATATCTGCAAGTGAGAGGCTGGAACCAGTGTAGAGTGTGGATACCTGAGCCGAGCCCGATGGCATCTGTGGGTGCCTGAGGGTTTGGCCCAGGTTCAGACAGAAATTTAGAAAGTATGTTCAGGTCTGCGTCATGTTCAAGCATGTAGGTCAAACTTTAGGCTAGACGACTGGAGCACTTGACTGTCTGCTTCGTTTAATGATAAGGGGGAAAACACTGTACAAACTCAGCTGCTTCTGTTTCACGTCAGGTTTAGACATTATATACTGTAAGCTTGTCAGGTTCAGATGCAAGACTCTCGAGCACAGGTTGGGTTCAGACAGATGTATGCGACCCGATCCATGCTCTAAACCAGTCGTGTTTTGGATTTTATTCCCAAAAAACAGCTAGACTGATAACCAAAATAATGACTACCATGTCTAGAGCGTTGTGTGAAAAATGCAAAATTAACTGTAAATTTAAGCCAGTTTATAATAGTACGTTTTCAGTCTTCAGCTCCATGTCTTACACACAAACACCTCGGCTGCTGTAACCACATCAAACGTTCATCTATTAACACTGTTTGCTCATTTTATTCTCATGCCTTTTTTTCTGAAAAGGGGAGACCACAGATGCGCTGGAGGCCCATCACTTGATGTTTACACTGCCTGAGAGTCAACCATTGCAGAACCCGGCTGAACCCAAGACCAGACCGGCAGCTTTTGAGGAGCAGTTACAGGGCTCCGTGTACAGTGAGTCAGTTGGTGAGCAAACATTAATGGTGAAAGTGGAGCTAAATGGGGAGGGTTTTCACACTGTAATTCAGGCAGGGACTGAAAACAGCACAGGAGCATCAGACCAAAGTCAGCCGTGGACCTCTGGGTTCGAGACCAATAGAGATGCCACTGAACAAACTGTCTCGCTACTTTTACAGCCACCAATCAAGGATCCACCTTTTCTAGACAACAAAGAAAAGGATGAAATGATGCACAATGATCAGTATTCCATGATAGGAATGCAGTCAGGAAGCTCTGATGTGGCACCTGAGCTGCAGGATCGACATGTTACACAGGAGGCGGCTGTGAATGAATACAGCACCGTGAGTGACAGGATTCAGGAGGGAGAGGTGCTTGAACTTAATGTGACTGCATCAGGCAGCCATGAGGACGGCTATGGCGGAGACAGCACTGGGCCAAATTGCTTTATATGCTCAAACTGTGGGCAAAGCTTTGATGCTTTCAGTTTATTCCAGAGGCACCTGTGTAAAAATATCACAGAGCAGTCCTTCAGCTGTGAGATATGTGGGAGGATTTTTAAAGAGATGAGCCTCCTGAAATTCCACCTCCAATTGCATATAGAATAAAATCATTTGTCATGTACACAAGAAGGAAAAGCACATGATTCACCATCAGGTTTCATCACATTCAGCTCTAAGAAAAGATAAAGTGCACCAGTTAATATTCTTACAGTTGATAAATGAGTGTGAGATAAAAATAAATACTTAACCTGTCTCAAAACGTCCAAAGGCTACAGCAGGAAAACAAGTTTTCAGTTTGCAGCACTGATTAAGTACAATGGTTTTTACAGTAAGAACAGGAGCATCTCTTTCTGGTGCGTTTCAGATACTTTGCACAAAAGGTTTTTCTGCTGTTTTGACCTACTGTGTTTTTCTTGTGTATACAAAGCAGGACTTTTTTTTTTTGGACTTACCTGAGCATCGTTGGCATGGACAGCGAACACGTTCGCTCTGTCGGCCCACACCGGGCTTTTGACTGTTGTTCTGTTTTCAACCTATTTTCTGGTCTACAGTCAGAACTGTCAATAATTTCACTTTCCTGAATTTGTTTTAATGATACTTGTCTGCGTTTTGAGAAGAGCCAAGTAACAAATCTAAGTGAAATATAGAATTTTTGGCTCGTTCTTTTCACATCACAAGTTAAGAGAGTGTAAATGTAGTTTAGTCCAAGACATTTTAAGTTTCTACTATCTGTTTTCATGGCAGACTGTTTAGGTCATCCAGTTATACAGGATCACCGTGTTCAAACACTTGTTTCTTACAGTATATGTCCAGTTTTGGAAATGGATCACCGTGCTCATTATAATTATCGTTATCAAGAATGCTGTATATTTTTAAACAATACAGATTAGATAATAATGTCACCTAATAAGGTGGTGTTACCTTTTTTCTCTTTAGTGTAAGGAAATGTTCAATGACAAATATCCTTAGTGGCAAAATGGTATTTAGTGGTACCTGAATTATAATCTATGGATGGAGGTAGCAAACCAACTGGACTGTTAGTATAAGTTTCTTCTCTCTTTACCTTTATTTATTCAGCCATTCCTAACATAAAACAGGTCTACAGTTTAAGCTTTGGAAAAGTCATCTTGTAGTTTCTGACTGCACTGTAGCCTTTATGTGCGTTCACATCAATGTACTGCATCCTAATGTAAGGAGTTCTGCCTCCTGTTGAGGAGAATGCAGTGAGTTAAACCTTATTGTTAAAAGTGTTAAGGATATTTATAGGAAATAAACAGATGTATCCTCATTTTAAGTCAAACCCTGTTCTCATACAAAATACCGTATACCTCAAAATCCCTTCAAAGCTGCATGTAAATATGTTTTGATATTAGCAATAATCTGCTGGGTTGGTCTTTCAGAAGCCTAATTTGAAGCGCACAGGTCAGGCCAAGGTTTCTTGGAGAAAGTGAACAGACTACAACAAGTAAATCCTAAATTGAGGAGAATTGTGCATTATGTTGAACTAAAGAAATGTGAAATACTGTACCTCAGTTATATATACTGTATGGTTCCCGTAATTATCGGGAGTTTTGATTTGGGAATGTAAAGAATTTAAAGCTTCTCTCAGTTGTTTTTTTTGACTGCTGTTTATTTTGTGGGATATATTTTTGCCAAGTGTGTCCTGTGCCACAGACAATAAATTTTATATGCAAATATAAATATTAGAATTTCTCTGGAGTGGAGCTTTAACTAAAACAAATTACACAGGCAGTATTGAGCATAAGAATTTTCAAAAGGGTGACATGAAGTCCCTAACCCTGCACCTTACTGCCTTTCAGAACAGTGTCAAAAAATAAAAAAATCTGTTTGTTTTTGTCATTTTAATTTATGGTGTTTTCAGGTTGCTTTGATTAATCGATTTACTTCAGAAATCACTGATGGGTTGTTGCCAATCTCACCCAGTTGTAGTGTAGCTCACATGACCTTTACAGTAATAGTTTGCCACGTTATGCAGGAGTACATGTGTAAAGGTGAAACTAAAATGTAAAAAAGTCATTTTCCTTCTTTAGCTTTTTGGCTTTACATATAAATTTTAAACTCTTTGACCTGTGCAGCCTGACACTTAAATATTGTTTGTTGAATGTCCTTATTGTTCCTACACTGCATTTTGTTACGTCTCTCACCTTGACTGATTTTCTCAGAGTTTACACATTCACTCACATTATGTAATTTTAGATAGCAAGAGGACCCAGTGTGGATCCTTGGGGGTCTCCCAATTCACCTCAAATTTACAGGGTCACAAATCACAGATCGGGCCTTTTAGGATAAAGTTTGTGTAATCACAAAACGGGGTAACAGTTTTGATCAGTGTTGTATACTATGACAGTTTTCATTAATCTGCCAATTATTATTTTTTAAATAATGAATTTAGTCTATGAAACCTAAAAATATTTCTCTGAGCGGAAGTTGACACCTTGGGTTGTTTAACCAAAAGTCCAAAGACCCCAAATATTCCACATACAAAGAAAAGCTCATCTGTGATGCAGAAATCTGTAACTATTTAAGTAATAATAACAGAAGAAACGCTTAGAAAGTCTTTACTTCTTTGCAACTGTGTATTACAAAAGGCACCAGTCTTTTCAGCTGACCATCTTTGGTGCGTTCAGAGTGTGCCCGATTGCGCACGGTTAAGGCAGTCTGACAGAAGGCAAAAGCGGGTCAAGGTAAGTAGATACACTGTGCCTGAAAACACCCATGAGTGGTGCCAACAAAGATGAAGGCTTTCAGAGTCCTGTTCCTCTCTTCCTTGTTGGTAGGTTTTTCTTTTTGCTGCGTTTATACTGCTATATTTACGGTAGTAGATCACTTAGCCACACGGAAGAAAGGGTCCAGCTAGCCAGAACCAGAGATGTAAAATTACCTAGTCCGTCGGTGTTTTGCAATATTTTATAAGAATCCTTGCTCCGCAGGAGGTTTTTATTATATTTTTTCTTACACATTACTTTGTGTGAATTGATATGGCGACGTGCATTCCCTTTCAAACGCAGTTATCCTCAATAATGGAGGTCTTGGTGAAAGCAGCAGTGGCAGAGATATCCAAACTAGTCGATGACAAATGTGCGTTTTTGCATCTCGAAATATCCCGAAAGCAAACCGAGAATGAGATGCTGAAGAGGAAAGTGCTAATGCTGGAGAACAAAAACGCACAGCTGCAGCGCGGGTTCGGTGAGATGATCATTTGTGTTCATAATTGACGACTTAATGTGTTCTGCATATTAATGGAAAAGTATAACAAAACAATGATACAGTCGTTTTATAAACCAGCAGGTAAATTAGTGAAAGGCAGCACTGTAGGAATGTTGTGCAACTTATAAAAGTCAATATACATTTTTGCTAAATGAAGGTATTTCCTTACTTTTTAAACAATAGTTCAGTTTCACTCTTGTCTAGTTGTTGAAATGTGTTTGTTTTTTTTTTCCATTCCTGCGTCCAGGAAACTACATGGACCGAGGAACTGATGTGGGGAGTGATTGTCCACATCCCATAGGAGGTATTAAGGTAAACTCCAGAACTTTGATTATCTAAATGATGTTAGCCAAACAAATGTGTAGATGTACCTGAAACAAGGATGGATTAAAGAGGGCATCTGCTCTAGGGCCTCAGAGCCGCCCACCAAGAGCCGGGGTCTGTCACAGGTTTCTTCTGTTTAAGGGAGTTTTTCCTCCCCGCTGTCGCCATGTGCTGCTCAGGGGGGATGTGTTGGATATTTCCTTTATGATGATGACAAAGTGCCAAAAAAATCAACTGTCCCAGGATTAATCCATCTCCTCTTTAGTTTCCTGAGATCGAGGATGCTGCTGTTTCCTTCACAATTAAAGAAGAGAGTCCAGATGAGCCACTGTGGATCAGTGATTCTGCTGGAGCCATTGGTGAGTTAACAAACTGGATTTTGTTTGAGATCTATCTGAAAACACCGTTTTCTTTTGTTTGAAAATGAATTCTCTCTACACCTGTCACCCGAAGGCTCTGCTGTACAGTACCCTAGTCAACCTAATGCTCCAGAGAACCAGCAGTTTGAAGAGGATGGTCAGTTAAACCATTCAGAGGTTGCCAGACAGAAGCCCTCAGAGTACAGCGACTCGTATAACTCAGGTCAGCACACAGGAGACTTGGCTGGCCTTCAGTTCACCGTGAAGACTGAGGAGGAGCAGCGAACACGATTCAGTCAGGATGGATGCCAGCACAGCGCAGGGAAGCAGAGTCAACTGGCTGCTGACTTTTCCATGGATGAAAGAGAGAACCAGCTGTGGTCATCCATACTCGAAGGCAATGACATTGACGCTGGTTTTCCTGACTTTTCTAGTGTGGTGGAGGAGTATTCCAACACATTCACTGACCATTCAGATGCACACGTGGTTTCTAACGCTAGCAAGTCGGGTAGTGTCCAGGCATCCTCTCAGAGGCCATGTAATGGGATCTACAGCAGTGAGTATCAGAAGGACGCTCCACAGTCATCCGTTTTTCAGCCCAGGGCTCAAGGGGCCTTGTTACAGCCAGACAGGCTGAAAGAACACGTTTACTCACAGAGAAACCCCTCCCATGCTGCACATCTGAGGCAGGCAGACGAGCACCCTGACAGGCAGCCTGCAGCTGAGGATAGGCCAGCGGTGACTCACTCACACAACACTTTCACACCGAGCAACTACCACCCTCACACCCCACACAGACCCCTCTCCGGCATGGCACGCGGCTACGCTTGCTCACTGTGTGGAAAGACGTTCAGCCGGCTGCACCAGTTCAAGCTGCACCAGCAAAGCCACAAGAGGAAGCGAGCGTTCTGGTGCACGGTGTGTGGGAAGAGCTTCCAGTGTTCTTCCCACCTCAGCATACACCACCGGACACACACGGGCGAGAAGCCGTACGGTTGCGGACAGTGTGGGAAGAGGTTCACGCAGCAGAGCAGCCTGAGGGTCCACCAGCGCACTCACAGCGGGGAACGGCCTTACAGCTGTTCGCAGTGCGGGAAGACCTTCATCCTGATGCACCACTTGAAACGGCACAGAATCATCCACACATACAGCTGAGGCGACGTGTCGCCCAGGTGAAAGGACACAAATGACCTTCAAAACCAAATCAACCAGCCAGTGAATGGTGGATTGTTTTGGTTGGGATTTGTCGCCTTGAGGCACTGCTCACAGACTTTGTATATTCATGCATATTTTACTATGCAAAATCCATCTGGATGGATTTGAAGATGTTTGTTTCTTTTTTTAAATACTTATCATAATTCTGAAAATCAAATGAACAGAATTCACACAGGTCAGTAAGCTAGAGATCCAAAAACAAGCAGATCTAAAATGTGGAGTCATCAACCAAAAGCCTGCAGCTTCTTCTTAGAGTTACCTGCATACATACGTACACACCTTCACCGAGTGACACAGTCTGTTTCGCTGCTCATGTAAAAAGTGTTTCAGTGAAACGGCATCATATTATAGATGTTAAACTGCATTTCGTTGCCTTGTACTTGTACATGGGTAATGACAATAAAGTTGAATCTAATCTAATCATATTACATTAATTCATTCCAGCAGTGAAGCTGTAGAACCACAAGATGCTTATTCCCATAAACTGTCCCCGTTACAGCGACAAGTGGGTTTTTCCATTCAAAGCCATTGAAGCACCTCTCAGGTTTATGTTTTGAGTCAGCATTGGTAAAAAATGTGCCTGACTGTTGTTCTGAGATTAATTTTTCATCATAATTCTCCTGAAATCTCTTGCTCTTTATTTGATGATTTATATTAAAGGTTTGTTAAAATCAGAAGCTGGATCTTTTGCCTCTTTGTGTTTCTGAGAATCAAAGTGTAGGTACAGGGTGCCTCATTCAGAACAGTCTGAGGGTTGATAGTGACACACTGGACACGTGTCAATAACTGCTGTTACTAGTGTGTGTGTGTGTGTGTGTTCCTCACGCTACTTGTCTACAAATAAGTTGTTGAGTTCATTATCGTTCACTGTTGTAACACTGGTTTAATGAAACATTTTTTACTCTGGTCCTCAGAATTATGGCTAAAACCAGCAGTTATTTTATCTCTTTAGTTAAATTGATTAATTTCTTATTATAAATGGTTTAGTTTATCAAATGACAGAAAAATGTCCCAGAGCTGAAGCTGATGTAGTAAAATCACTTTATTCTGACCATGAGAAGAAAAAAAACTAGAAAGTTCTCACTTTTAAGAAGCTGTGTCTGGTGAGTGTTTGGTATTTTACTTGACAAATGATGAGTGATTTGATTTATTAAAACTTTAAAAACATGATTTCAGCATCACTCAAAATAGTGGCTCTTTCAGGCTGTGGCTTTACTCTGCCACCAGAGGACAGTGTAGCTCATTATTTAAGACTTCACTCTGTCGAACAGGTGCTACTTCCTGTAAGGCAACATGAGCTTCACACATTGAAGTTTGTTTATTTATTTATTTGTTTTTATTGCTACAGTAGTAGTAATGGCCACACTGAACTATAGTGGTTTGACAGCCTATATGCAGCAGCCTTCAGCATAGCTGCAAAGACGAGACCTTGATCCATGAATGTCCCCTCTGTCTTATTGCTCCGTTCTACCTGTTGCCTTCTGCTCAGTATTTGTTGGGTTTGTTTCACTTTATTCATTTGCTTTTTCCTCTTGCGCCCTCTGACTTTGTGCAAAACAAAAACCTTTTGAATTTTAATTTTACAGGCCTTTAGATCATTTAGATCATTTAGATGGAAGAACACTGTTCGTCCAGACCACAGAGTTCACGAGAGCAAGGGCACAACATTCACTCATATAAATGGGCCCCTTGTGAAAAACAAGATCTAGAACAACACAAAATGTGTCCTCAAGTACTTGATCTGGATCATCTGACAGACAGTTATACTGCTCGTCTTACCTGAACAGTTCAGGGTTCAGTCTTCATTACAGTTATGGCAGAAAATATACGTTAAATGGGTTTTCATTGTTAACTTTAAATGGCCATCAGATCCGGAATCTGGATCAAATCCAGATGTATTTGGTCTGGTGATAGACACTGCCACCCTACATATGTGTGTTAAGTTTCAAATGATTCCATTAACATTTGATGGAAATACAATTTTTATTTTTTATTTTGCCCATGTTAACAATAGGGACTTTTGACCTTTGACCTTTTTTCATCCAAAATCTAATCACTCCTAGGTTTGGTACCAAGTATGCTGATGACTCCTCCAGCTGTTCATCCATAAACCTGTTAACCAGCACACATACAGAACCAAAGCCATAACATCCCTGGTCGGAGGTAAAAGGTGTCCGCTTTGTTTGGTTGGTCTGAACACGCTCTCTATACGTTGGTGATATATAGGATGGTGATGTTGGCCCCTCCGACTTGTCTGTGCTCTGGTTTGTGTTTTAACTCTATTTTCTGTTGTGCATGTAATTTAATAGCCTAATGTCTCTGATGGTCAACATGGATTTAGTTTAGGTTGCAAAGCAAACTGATTTGTCTGTTTGAGTTGTAAAGGTGTGTGTGCATGTTTGTGTAGTCATAAATCTAACAAGAGGAACCTATCAGCAGCATGTCAGTGTATCCTAGCAAAGTGTATGGCCCCTGCCTGGATCCAGGCATGTGGGCCACACAGAGATCATAAAATTCTCATGGCCTTGTGTGTCTGTAAACAGTGGAGCCTCAGCGTCATGGAAAATCTTCTTCTTTTTGGAGGAAGAGGAAGGGGAGCAGAGTGGGAGTGGGGATATTTTGGGTAGGAAAGTGGGATCAGGTTGGAGAGAGGGAGAGAAAAGTGAACAGTGAAGGAAAATGAGGATAAACTGATAAAATGTTCTCTTTCACAGCAGCTTGACTTGTTTTTCATTATTTCTCTGGAAAGCCCACATTGAATGTACAGGTTGTGTTTCAGATGCTGTTAGGAGACAACTTAGTGATGGAGTTTGTGTTTCTGGCCCTTTTTGTTGTTGTTGGTGATGCTGAACCATCTGACAATCTCCTACTATTGTTTGCACTACTGTCATTGACCCCACACGGTTTTGAGTCACAGCTTATTGGCTGTACCATTTAGATTTCTCCTAATTACATTAATCCAGTTCTAATTCTATTCTATTTTTATTCTGCTTTACTCTATTTTAGTTCCTAAATGTTATGGCACCCAATACTAGGTGAGAGAGAAATGGTATTTCGATTTCTGTATGTCCTGCACATATGGTGAATTGACAATAAAATCCTTGAACCTTGAAATATTAACCATGATGCATGGTTAATACAGAGTATACTGTATCACCAAAAGTATGTGGACGTCCATATCCACTGTGCTTCGCACTGGGGCCGTGTTGTTTGGCTGGTTTGTCCTTGGTGCAGTCTTAACACTATAGCATTACAATATTTAGACAAGTGTTCTTCCAGCTTTGTGGTAGCAGGTTACTGCTTGTGGTTTTGGAACGAGATGCTCACTAATCACATATGCTTGTCATGTTTTTGCGTGCCAGGGGGCTCCTCCTCCTCCGAGCCACCCACTCTTTGTGTTGCATTATTGCCTCTAGCAATTTACATGGCAGATGCATGCCAATATAGTTTGTTTACCTCAAGCCCTTTCATTATATATGAAAATCTAACTAATTCTGAACTGCTGAACATCACAACATGTCAAGACTGATCTGAAGGTAGATTTGTTTTTTTTCCCGTGAGACTGACTCAAGATCAACTCTGGGGAAAGGTTAAGGTTAAGACATCCCACTGATGAAGCAACACGCAAAGATCCGACCTTTCTGTCACAAATATGACACACAAGAAACCCACAAGTTGTTTTCAAGTTGAGTCATTTTATTGTAAAATTACTGCAGCTTGTTCAGTTTTCAGTCAAGTACCTGTAAAAGCACAGACAGCCCAAGTTAATAAGACGAAGAGATCTGAATCATATCGACATACTTTGGTAACTGTCCCATCCCTTTCTAGAACTGTCCATCAAACACTATATATATATATATATATTCTCAAAGCAAATAAAAACACTGCTTAAATACATGTTTTAAATATCTTATTAATATTTTACAACTTTTTTTGCAGTCTATGAAATTGTTTTGCACCATCTTTCGGCCAAGAAAACATGCAAGGTGAGTTGGTCCTCTACATTAGAAAATATCACTGCATCCATGTTGGTTGTTAACAGAAATCAAGGAATGTAAAAGCACTGAATAAATACTCATTTTTAAGTTATTAAGTTAAAGTAGTCGCAGTTTCAGTGGAGCTTCAGTTAGATGTGTACAGTACAGAAATGTGTGACATCATTTATATCTACACTTCAAAAATGTCAATGCCGCTGCTAATGGAGTGCATGAAACCGTGGACATACTTCTGAGAACTTAAGATTTACAGTAACAGTCTGTGGAAATGTTTATAAAAAATTAAAATTAATTTTGCAGAGAAACAGGTTTAAAAAGTAGTAAAATAAGTAGTTTTTGTTAGGAAATTCTTGCAAGCATTTTTAAAATAATCATCTTATGCTGCTTTGTGATGTGCATGTTCAGTTGTTGTTGTTGTTGAGCTCCAGCCGAGCCACCATGGTGGACACCAGCTTCTCCAGTTGCTCTGCCCTTTGCCTGCCCGCCTCCAGGACCTCCTCGTGGTTGGCCTTCTCCTGGCTGTCGTAGTCCATCACCGCCCGGTTAGTGATCAGTGACAGGGCGAAGCAACGCATGCCAGCATGGCGGGCGACAATCACCTCATGGACAGTGCTCATCCCTGCAGCGAAGACAAAGAGAAGGTGAGACATCAAAGGGCTGCGTTCTCAATGTACTATTCAAAGGTTAGTCAGCATTTATGTTATACTGTAGAATTATACTGTCTATAGTGGATTGGACCTTGTGTGCACATGTGCATGCGCTCTTGTATTAATCCTTATTAAGGGTTGGGGGTTACACATGTGATGGTCAATGGAATGTCCTCACAAGTATAGGTGTACTACACTGTGTGGTGAGGGAGACTTAACACTGACCAACGGCGTCGGCGCCCAGCTTGTGCAGCAGGCGACACTCAGCGATGGTCTCGAAGGAGGGACCTCCCAATACACAGTACACTCCCTCCTGCAGGAAGTCGCTGTAGCTCAGCTCCGCTGCCACGTCGTGCGCCAGCTGCCGCAGCTCACGGTCGTAGGCGTCAGACATGCAGGGAAAGCGGACGCCAAACCTGAAGGGAGAAGCATGACGTTCGTCGAGTTAACACATCTGTGCTGCTCAACAGTCAAATTCCCCCAAATGACTCAGGTAACATTAATGCAATACACCAAACTTCTGAGATTCGTCAACGCCCCAGTGATTCTTGCTAACAGGAATGACTGTGCTTAACCTACTGAGAGAATGTGACTGTCATGATGCAAGATGAATGACAAAACTCATGAACACTGTGCAAGGGGAGATTTGTCATCTAAGTCCAGTAAATAGATCATCAAGTCCCTCCTGCAGTTTGTTTAAGTATGTGCTCTGATGCCAGGGGTCACATGGTCGAGAACAATAGGTGCTTTTGCTGACAATAAGATGCTTCAGGGCTGAAGTGTGGCAGTTTTGTGTGGGAGCATGGAAAAATGCACATCCCAAAAAGTGTTGGGGAAGAGAAAACGTGGTACAGCTGAGTCATTTACACAGTGAATATGTTAAAAAATAACCTGACAGCATTTTGTAATGTTTAGTAAAACATTAGCCATTTGAAATGATCTATTATACCAGTTAATCATATACAGGCAAAAAATATGTGCGTATTCTCGTGACTTTAAAGGTCTTTTTTTTTTTTTTTTTTCTCACAAATTCTGGGCTTCACCTAACTTGCTTTAATGAGCTAAATAACCCGCTCCTGCATTAATTTTCCACCATGAAAACAAGAAAACTTTAAGATAACTAGTGAATACTGACCATTTTTCTGCAAAACTAGCAGCTTCAAAACAAAACAGCAGGTGTTGAGTATGCACTTCCACCGCTCTCCTCCGCTCCTCCACCTACCTGTCATCATTGGGTCCAGTCAGCGGGCTGACTCCGGCGAACCCCGGCATGTTGATGTGGTCCTTGATGATCATGACGTCTCCCACTTTATAGTCCTGGTTGAGGCCTCCAGCCGCGTTGGTCATGATCATCGTCTCCACGCCCATCAGCTTGAAGACGCGCATGGGCAGCGTGATCTGGAGAACACAAGGTAATGTGTGTGTTTATACATATCACCAAGACGCACCACAAGTTTTGGGCACGCCAGGTGCACAAACAAGGAATATGTTTTTGTTGTTTCTCTGCATGTCAAGTGATTAACAGTACACTCAGCACATCATAATGCCCCTACTATAATAACACGTCAGACACAAAGATTTTAAATGTCTCCAGCACTGAGGTTGGCTTCAGTTGCTTTTATTGAACAACAATGAGCAGGTGGCTTCCCACCGAGGGAGGAACGCACACAGTGATGTCTCCATCTCCACACACCAGCTGAATAAATAAAACACCCTGAAGATGATCAACAGAAAACTGAAAAGGTCTGTGAACCCACATCTCATGTTTTCTCACAGCCGTGTAGATAATTTGTTTTATGTTTTGAGAACTCTGACATTTGTAGCTAAGCAATCTTCCAGATATCCTTGAAATCTGAGTTACATATGAAACCCTCAGCAGCTGTGTGTCGCTCCTGTTACTCCACACAGCTTACTGTTGGCGGTTTTCAGAAACTGTCCTGCTG